GGCACTAGAACATCTGGTAACTAGGAGCAGCTAAATACTCAATAAACTGACAAATCAACCAGTCCTTGGAATTTTCCTATATTTGTTATTAAAAAGAAATCTGGAAAACAGAGAATGGTAACTAATCTGAGAGCTATAAATAAGGTGATTCAGCCAATGGGCTCTTTGCAGCCTGGAATTCCCTTGCTTTCTGTATTGCCTAAAAGATGGTCTATTATGGTGATTGATTTAAAAGACTGCTTTTTTACTATACTTTTACAAAAACAGAATCGAGAAAATTTTCCCTTCACAGTGCCTACTTTTAATAATCCCCAGCCTGTTAAAAGGTATCTTTTAACAGGTACTTCCACAAGGAATATTAAACAGTCCCACTTTATGTCAATATTTTGTACAACAGCTTTTAGAAATAATTCATAAACAGTTTCCTCAATCTATAATTTACCATCATATGGATAATCTCTTACTGGCTGATTTAGGCACAAATACCTTGGGAAAAAATGTTTGAAGAAGTAAAGAGAATTTGCCTTGTTGGGTATTACAAATTGCTCCTGGAAAAACACAAAGATGAGATTCTATTAATAACCTAGGATATAAGATAGGTTTATAGAAAATTCAACCACAGAAAGTACAAATCAGGAGCGATCAATTACTAACTCTTAATGATTTTGAAAAGTTGCTGGGAGATATTAACTGGCTAAGGCCCACACTTGGATTAACTACTCAAAAGCTAAGTAATTTATTTCAAACTTTACAAGGTATTAAGGTCTTAAATAGTCCAAGAAAATTATCAGCTGAGGCTGAGAGAGAATTGGCTCTGGTGGAAGAAAAATTACAGGATGCACATGTGGATCTCTTGAATCCAGGGTTTGATTGTATCCTGGTCATACTACCTTCTACACATTCCCCTAAAGGAATTCTTATGCAGAGAGAAGATAATATCTTAGAATGTACATTTTTTTTACCACACAAACAGGAAAAATTAAAGACCTATGTAGAGAAGGTTCCTGAATTGATTCTGAAAAGAAAACTGAGACTTTTTCAATTAGCTAAAAGTCTAAGAGTTTCATTTTTAAAAAATACCATGTTAATAGCAAAGATTGGAAGAAAGATTTTTTTCCATCACTTGGCCAAGTAAATTATAAGAAAATGTTCTGCTTGCTCCTTGTGTAACCAAACTCCACTACCTACAGGAAGCAACTCAAAATGTACTCAATGAAATTAAATTTGGCAAATGGATGTGTTTCATTTTGCTGAGTTTGGGAAATTAAAGTGCACCATACCATAAATAAATATTCAGGTTTTCAATGGGCAACTGCTTTGAGTTCTGAAAAGGCTGATTCTGTAATTACACAATTATTAGAAGTTATGGCCATAATGGGAATACCTGTACAAATTAAGACGGACAATTCTCTAGCATATATCTCTAAAAAAAATGAATCAGTTTTTTGCATATTACAAAATAAAGTATATTACAGGTATACCACACAACTCTATGGGACAAGCAGTTATAGAAAGATCTAATTGCACTGTAAAAGATATGCTTAATAAATAAAAAGGGACAATAAAGAGCCCTAGAGATAGATTGCACAATGCTTTATTAACTTTCAGTTTTTTAAATGCTAACAAGAAAGGGATGACAGGACAGCTGCAGAGATACATTGGATAATAGAAAAACTACTGAAATAAATCAGCCTATATATTTAAAAATGTGTTGACCTCAGAATGGAAACCAGAATATGTGTCCTTTTGGGAAGAGGTTTTGCTTTTGTTTCCACAGGAAAAGAAAGGCTATGGATACCATCAAGATTGATAAAGATTACATTTGAGCAGAGACCTCTTGATTAGGAGATACAATAGTTCATCAAACAGTTTGGTCATTCAAGCCCTCTACAAACATAAAAGACAAATGGTCTTTTTGCGATCCCAATTCAATTAAAATTCAAAGCTGGCTTTGGAGTTGGATTGTGGCTCTCTCCTTCCCTAAATGCAAGCATGCTTGTTAAAGGAAAATCCAAAATAGAGTATTTTCTCCAAATTTGCCAAATACAAATGGACTGGACATTGTGAATGTAATTCTAACTTGTTAATTGTCCTTATTGTATATAATTTTACTGTGTTAGACTTAAAATCTTTTCTTTTTACTTAGATAATGCCTGATAATTGTTCTTATTGTATATGGTTTTACTGTGTTAAAGTTAAAACCTTTCATTTTTATTTAGACAAAAAGGGAGAAACGTTACAGGATATTTGATCACACTGTGAAACTCCAAGCCTGTGTTAATAAAATTAACCCCGGATCAGTGGGCGAGGCCAGGGACTAGTTGACAAGAATTAGCCATAGAGAGTACAAAGAACCCAGGAAGATGGATAGAGAGATATACAAAAAAGAGAAGGAAGGGACTTGGAGATTTGCAGGCCTTTTGGTTTGGAATGAGTGGAGAGATGCAATTTTGCTGGGTCTCCCACCAAAGAGCAAGGTCAGCTGGTTGCTTCTTGGTTTCTCTGATATAGCAGGTTTTCACCCCAGCATTTGACCCCAGAGTCTTTATTGGTAAACATAGCAACTTAGATAAAAACATCACAGCTGCTGTTATTTTATCAAAAGACACTGAAAAAGAGTTTCAGAGAAAATAAGAAAGTTTACTATTAAAGAAACCATGGGACAGTGGTGGCATACGACTTTATCCCAGTATGGGGGAGGGGAGTTGTAAAGGCAGGTGGATCTCTGTGAGTTCACAGCCAGCCTGGTCTACAAAATTCCAGGACAGCCAGGGCTATACAGAGAAACCCTGTCTGGGTTGGGAGACAGGGTGTTATCTTTATATGTTATGGCTGTTAGCTTGATGTTTTTGTGGGACGCCTAACAGTGGAAGAAGGGGTGTCTATAACTCTTTGGCCTGTTCTTGGGACTCTTTTCCTCCTACTGGATCACCTTGTCCAGGCTTGATATGAGGGTTTGTGCCTAGTCTTATTGTTGTGCCATATTCGGTTAATATCACTGGGAAGCCTGCTCTTTTCTGAAGGGAAATGGAAGAGGAATGGAGGAGAGGGGAGGTGGGGTCGGGGACTGGGAGGAGTGGAGGTAGGAGAGGCTGCGGTCCATATGTATTCTATGAGAGAAGAATAAATAAAATAAATAAATGAACAAATAAAAAGAAACCATGACAAGAAGTTGCTTCTAGGATGAGAGAGCTGCAGAAAATGCCAAATGCTAATGAAAACTCCAGTAAAATAGAAAGTGAGGACTGGGCACAGTGTCTAGAATGTGGGGCAGTGGGGGGGAGTGGATCAGCATTTTCTGTCAAATGGTGGGGCAGGAATCAGTTGTAGAGAGTCAAAGACTAATTAGATCTTTATCTAGTTCATACTGTACATAAAAGTAAATACCAGAAAACATAAAGGATAGAAGGATGAAACTTTAAAATGTTCTGAAGAAAATCTAAAATATCTTTGTGATCTCACTGTGAAAAGGGAGTTTCAAAAAAAGAAGCATAAGCAAAAATGTTTTTTTAAGCAGAAGATAAAAAATATGATTTGGTGAAGGTGATAGCATGTTTGCAATAACATAAGTCATTATAAAAATGAAAAATAGAGACTGAGGATGTGAGTTAGTTGATAGAGTGCTTGCCTAGCATGTACAAAGCCCTGGGTTCAATTCATCACCCCATAAATTGGGTGTGATGGTACATGCCTATAATCTCAGTGTTTAGAAAGTGTAGGCAAAAGGATCAGGATTTCAAGGTCATCCTCAGCTACAAAAAGAGTTCCAGGCCAACCTGGGCTATGTGAAACAATGATGACCATGATATTATTGATGGTGATGATGATGATGATGATGATGATGATGATGATAAAAGCCACAAATATAGTGAAAATTACAGGCCTTGCCACTAACAAAATGGTAGTATTCAGAAAGCATAAGGAATTCTATAGGTTAGTAAGAAAAAGATAAATATGACCTAATAAATGGTCAAAGAATCTAAATAGGGACCCACATAACCTATAAATTACTAGCTCTACATAGCAACAGTACTCACCTCACTATATCCTCAGTTCCTCTTTGCTCCCACTTAGATAACAGGATTTATCATCTATTTAATTTTTCTTGGTGCCTGAGACTGAACTGAGGGCCTTGTGCTGAAATCCCCAACCCTAGGATCCATCTTTTTTTATATACTATTATTTAATGAAAGTTACTTTTATACAATTCTACCTACATATTACCTGGATATAATTATAAGTCTCACAATTTAACAGAAAAATAGAGAAACATGATAAGTACCCTAACACTCTGGACATTTGGCTTAAATTTTGTATATGTATACTGCATTTACACCATTTTCTCCTTCCATCTCCTCCTTCATCCCCTTGACTCCTTTCCAAGTTCATTGCCTCTTTTTCTTTCATTATTATTGTTGCATATATATGATGCATTATTATGTAAACACCACCTGCTGAGTCCGTTCAGTGTTGCTTCTATGTGCATTATTTTAGGGACGACCACTTGGAATTGGATAACCAGTCAAGGGGCTCGTCCTTGGAGAAAGTTGATTCTCCCTTCTCAGCCTATAGATCTTCATCTAATGGTTGGGCCTTATGAGATTTCCATCAGCCATGGTGGCATGTCAACTGACAGTGTCATTGTTGAAGTCTTCTTTAGACTACCATATTGTTGTGAGTTTATGGGTACAGCTTCCCTGTTATGTGTGGAAGACACAATTTCAGTTCTGATGAGATACACATACACTTATATGTGTGTAGATTGGGGTAAACATAATATGATTCCCTGCAGCATTTTCAAACATCCTTGATGTTATTTATCCCTCCTCCCTTCCTCTCACACAGTATTGTCCTTCGTCATCTTAATCAATACCTTATACATCCCTTCATTCCATGATCCTGTTTCCATTTACTTATACATTTGACAAAGTCAGAGCCTTGAGAAAATCCAATTATCCTTGTTTTTTGTAACTTTATGTCTTCACTGTCATTTTCTATAGGCACTCTTCCAGTGCAACCAAAAAGCAGATGCAAGGCCCAGTGAGAGAGTGTGGATAAGGTAGAAGACCAGACTGGTCCAGTGGCTTCTATTTCTTCAAAGAAGAATGAAGCACAGAGAATCAGAAAGACAGGAATCAAGGACCAGAAGTCTGAAGAGAGAAGAGACTAGAGACAGTTATGAAGAATGAGAAGGCTGTGGTACAAAGGAAACCAGAGAGATGTTGGCGACTGTAAGTACTAATTTGTTGGCGATGCACTGATAGGGCATTAGTTTTTGGAACTGTGCATTATGTACCTTAGATTTGGGCACGTACCTGTCAGTATGTGATAGGAATGGACCATTACATCAGACCTGTGTTGGGAGTGCAAGTGCCAACCCCTTCTCTGCTGTGAGATGCAGCCCTACTTAGTTCCTGTGATGAAACAGTCATTCCAGAGGAGACAGGATTATGACGGCAATGGAAACTTCATTTCAGCCCTGGACTGAACAAATGGATATGTGACAGAGATGAGCTCGGCTCTTAGGACCCTGGTATCTTCTGTCTCCCACGGAAAATGCCTGTTGTAAGCAAGAAAACTCTCCATTACTAATGCACATGTTTCCAGAATAACAGAACAAAAATGCCCTGTTAAATTGCAGTCAAAATGACTGTGAATTCAAATTTTAAAACTGCTAAAAATAACTGTCATGTTTTAAATGGTGTCAGTATATTAGAAATATCTGTTTTGCTGATTTTTATGAATGTATAAAGTTTTTAATGAAAAAAATGAAAAAATCAACTGTAGAAATTGCTAGAGTTAATTATCTGTTAATTAATTAACATTTTATTAATCTGGATTTTGCTTGTGATTTTTGCTTGTTTGTTTATTTGTTTGTTGCACATACACTAAATAAGCAGAATGGTGTTGCTAGGTATATGAAGACTAAACAAGTAGCCCCTCCCTAACATTATGAAGCTCACAGAGACAAAATTTTTATATCTGTCTAGTTGAAGTATTATTTATTTTATCTATGACCAGATTCTATAGATTTAGCAAATGAACAATCTTTTCTCATATTTTAACTTTATTGCCCTTTAGAACCAATTTAGGTTAGGGGAGATTAGGTGTAATTTTGAGCTTGGGCAGTAGAGGGTAGCAAAGCATCAGAAGGACTGCTTAAGAATGCCTTTGTAGACCACCATGCAGACATTTTTCTATACATAGAATTTCAATGACTTTTCCTTTGGAGTCAATGGCATATCTTAGCTATAAATATAGGAAGTATGTAAATCTATTCTTATTAAAATTCATTCATGATTTGCCAAAATACATTTTAAAATAAATGTTTTACTGTTTTATTATTCTTTTTTATGTTATCCCTCTGTTATAATATCATGAAAACTGATGAACTGAGGTCAAGCACTGCATCAGTTTTCTCACAAATGTTGCAGTTTATCTGTCTTACTGGTGTCTTTCCAAGTTAACAATCAAGTGAAAGCCAGCGATAAGAACACCATGCCAACTATGGCTGTTGAAAGAATAATATCCCCATGTTGTCTGTGAGCAGCATATCTCCGCAGCGTGGAATTTGATAACCCTTTATTTACATCAGTTCCTTTGGCTATACTTCATATAAACAATATCCACGTGACCATAACATTTCCAAATGCAACTGTAGTGACGCGTTCTATGTTAAACTATTGCATTTTCGAGAGAAGAGAAGCTTTTGCTGGCAGAGCATGTTATTTACAGTTGCTGTGGAAGTCCCCCCTGCTCACTTTCACTTTAGTAGGGCATTGACTACAGTTGCTTATGGAGCGCCCAGTGGATCCTGAACTAGGGACATTCAGAGAAAGAGGGGTTTTTGTTTGTTTGTTTGTTTGTTTGTTTGTTTGTTTGTTTGTTTTAAGTTGAGTTGAGACATCTGTTTCTTGGAGCTGCTACAACAAACTACCAGAAACTGGGTGATTTAAAGCAGAAATTTAAGAGTTCAAGAGGCCAGAAGATCAAAATCAAGGTGGTCAGAATCAGTTCCTGCTGGAGCCTCCAAGGGAGAATGCACCGTAGACTTTTTCCTGGTTTCTCATGGTTGCCATAAGCCCCGACTTTCCTTGGCTCATAGCCGCATGGTTCTAATCTTTGCCTCATCACGCATGGCAGTCACTCCATGTGTCTGTTACTCTGTCTTCCCATGGCCAAGATCTCGTCATTGGATTAAAGGCTCACTCTAACCCATTTTCACCCCATCCTAACTAAAAGCATCTTCAAAGACTCCTGTTTTCACTAAGTTTAAATCCTGAGGTTTCAGGTAGATAGGAATATTGAGGAAACTCAGTATTTAACCCATTACAAGAAGTAAGGCTATTTTATATTCCTTCAGAGAAATAATAAAAGGGAAGACTAATGCTTCTCTTGATGGAGATAATAGGAATAACTGAGTATTTTATATTCAGAATAAATGCATCTAAACATAAACTCAAATGAGTGTTTTTTAATTTATGTATTCATATATTTACTTATTGAGACAGGGTCTTCACTATGTATCCCTGGCTGACCTGAAACTCACTGTGTAGACCAGGCTGGTCCTAAGTTCATAGAGATCTGTCTGTCTCTGCCTTCCAAGTGGTAGAATAAAAGTCAAATGCTACCACTCACTCAGATTCTACTTTATTTTATGTTCATATTATTTGTTGCCTATTCTAGAGAGGTTTTCAATTATCTTACAAAATAATTAATATGCATCATGCACAATATAAAATGAATGCTATTCATTGTCAAAAATAGTATGTATTTTTTTGCTGGGTGGTGTGGCGCACACCTTTAATCCCAGCACTTGGAGGCAGAGGCAGGCAGATCTCTGTGAGTTCAAGGCCAGCCTGGTCTACAGATTGAGTTCCAGGACAAGCTCCAAAGTTACACAGAGAAACCCTGCCTTGAAATTAAAAAAAATGAATCGGAAAAAAAATAGTGTGTATTTTTTTATTAAGCCTGGAGGATTAGCAGTAATTCAGTAAGAAAGGAAGATACAACAAAAATCCTTGCTATATATAAGTAGAGTCCAAAATGTTCTATGTATAAAAAATTCACCTTTACTTTATTGAAAGGGTGACAGAGAACATCTCAAGTAGTCTACCAGATCATGTGTGTTTTACAAGCTATGGGGAAAAAATAGACCAATTGTTAAAATCTATATCATACACTGAATTGAAAATAACCCTAAATAGCCACAAAATAATCATTTCCTGACTCTCTTCACCTGTAGATGACACCACTAGCCAGTTCCCACTTAAGAATTTTATCCAAATGAAGTTTGGGAGCCAAGTTCCAATCTAACTGTGATTCATATTACCTTAGAAACATTTTCACAATTTTTGGATAGACTAGAGTCAAGACACGAAAACACAGATGATAGAGGAAAATACGGTCATGAGTCACTCAATGAAAGCAAAACATTCTGAAGAATGCACCATTGGGCATCAGGGCCATGTAGACATCAAGGGTTCTCACAAAAACCTAGATGCTCTAGTCCACTGCACCTCTAGGCTCTGTCATTTAGCCATAGTTAGTGAATGAGCTCTGTTGTTAACCAAAACATCATGCCACACATGATTCTGTAATCAGTTGCCTTATTATCATAAAAAGGAAGCAATGCATCACTTCCTTAAGAGAGCAAAGTTTTTTATAGCAATAATTGTTTTAAAACATATCACTGAGTGATGAAGATTGCACATAGTATCTTTTTTAAACTCCTAAAATAATCACAACAACAGGGAGCTGTTTGCCTATTGTTTTGTTAAAATAAAGACCAGGATGCCTAAACACAACTCAGTTGAGGCATTTTCAGGAACTGGAGAGAACTAAGCCAGTAGTCCAACTTATTCACAACAATAAATGTTTTTCCGGTAGCTGAGCTGTCTGTGGCCAGTGCACTCCTGTTATCCTGGCTACTGGGGAGATTGAGGCAAGAAGAGAGGGAAAGGGGGAAGGGAGATAAATGAAGAAGAACTGAAGAGAAATTGAACGTCCTGAATGAAAACTTGGAAATACTGAGAACCGATGTCCCCAGTATATTTCTCTCTATTATTGCATTCTGGAGTCCTAAAACTCTCCCCCACCACCACCACCATCCACCACCAATATTCTAATTCTAAAGTGCAGACAACCCCGGAGTCAGTCTCTGTGCAAGCAGAGGCTAGCAGTCCACCGAGAATTTGTGTTCCTCATTCCTTAGCGCTGATGCTTCCGAAAGGTGACGACCAGGACAGGATCTTCATTCTCTGGACTCGGTTACAGGCAGCATCTAACTACATGGAATGTGAGTAGACGTGACGCGTGACATTTACAGGTCAAAGCTTTTAAGAAAGCAAAGGTGGGGCCAGGAAAGTAACTCTGTGATAGAACTCATGCTTAGCATGTGAGGCAATAGGTTTGATCCCCGGTCTAAGAAAAAAAAAAAAAAGAGGGAGGAAGGAAGGAAGGAAGGAAGGAAGGAAGGAAGGAAGGAAGGAAGGAAGGAAGGAAGGAAGAATCTTTTTCACACTATGGTTTGCTTTTTGACCAGTCAGAAGTAGAAGGCACCAAGGCCCAAGGAGGTGCTAGGACTCCCCACGGGAGAAACCTAGGTCTCAGAATGTCAGAACCACCTGCCAAGCAGGAACACTCACGTTAGATTATGATATGGATGAGAAACAAATGCTTGTATTTTAAAGCCATTGAAACTTGGAGGCTTATTTGGGTGATTAGCATTACCATGATCACCCTTCCCCTGTACGCAGCTCCTAGGGACCGTTTTCCTACTACCTACGAGAAAACAGACTTACAAACACAATAGTCAGAAACTCCTAAAAGCTATCTAGATCAGTCCTATTCTTAAACATGATCCACAATGAGATCTCAAGAAAGAAAGCAAGCAAAAGAGAGAGATTAAGGTAAAGAGTACTGATCCAGAGACAACAGAAGTCATCCATGGAATCAGGGGAAAAAATGAAGCTGGGCACACACCTTTAATCTCAGCACTCAGGAGGCAGAAGCAGACTGATCTCTATTAGTTTAGGGTCAGCCTGGTCGACATAGTGAGACCCTCTCTCAAAAATAAATAAATAAATAAATAAATATAAAAATAAGATTTGAAAGCTCTTAACTAGTGCTCACAGAGAAAGTTGTAAAGATATTTCTGCCCATAAAACTAGAATGAGATTAACCCTACCTCTTACCCTGACCTCCCCACACGTTAAAACAAAAGAAGAATCCTTAGAGGGGTTGGAGAGACGGCACTGAGGTAAAAAGCAATAACTGCTCTCCCAGAGGACTCAGGTTTGATTCCCTGCATCTACATACCAGCCCACAACCGGCTAGAACTCCAGTCCCAGGGGGTGCAACGCCCTCTTCAGCCTCTCTAGGCACCGTATTCATACAGCGCACTAACATACATGCAAGCAAACACACACACACACACACACACACACACACACACACACACACACACACACACAAAGTTAAAAACTGTTTCAGCATGAGACTGCTGAAATTTTAAAAACCAAAAGGAAGATCTAAGGTCAATCTAGTTTGTGTTCTCCCCTAGAATATATAGCAAAAGATCAACAGACAAAACCCCGGAGAAGATTTTAAAAAGCGTAAGTACGTAAGGTGTGATATCTAGTAGAAGAGAAAAGAGAAAAGAGAGCAGGGTAAAACAGCTTTTGGGTTGGGTCTTTACGATTTTTTTTATTATTATCTATTCATTTATAGGAGGGGGTGAGTGTCACGGCGCCCTTCCGAAGGCCAGAGGACAACTTGCAGGAACTGGTTCTCCTTTCACCGTGGGAGTCCTGGGGACTGAGCTCCGGTCGTCAGGCAAGGTGCTGGGTGCCTTTGCTGTGTCCCCAGCCCAAGAACAGCTTATAAAAAAAGTACAGACAGATGATAGGCAGGTGATAGATACAAAGATAGACAGACAGTCTCTGGAGTTACAAAATGCTATGTTTACCACTAAAGTAAACCGACCAGTACTGTCGTGCTAATTACCCAAATAAGCCTCCAAGTTTCAGCGGCTTTAAAATGCATGCCTTTGGTCTCGTCCGTGTCATAGTCTAGTGTGAGTGTTCCTGCTTGGCAGGTGGTTTGCCCTTCATGATAGTGAATAATGCCACTCATTCTAAGAGTAATGAGCGACAAGCAAACGAATGACAGCACGTTGCATGTCCCGTGGAATTTTTATGAAGCAGCTTGGCTGGCCAGCCTCGTCCCTGTTACATTGTGAGCTACTTTCTCTTCCTACATAAACGTTCACTTTCTACTTCATTTTGCACTTCCTCCCAACGTTCTTTCAGTGGTGCTGAGAATCAAACCAACGGCTCGTACATACTCTGTAAACAAGTTTGCTCTGAACTATACCCCCGACCCTCGTGAAATTTTAGAACACCAGATATTGAAGAGGCTTTTGGTTTTGGTTTGGTTTGGTTTGGTTTGGTTATTTGGTTGTTTGTTTGGGTTGTTTGGTTTGGTTGTTTGGTTTTGGAGGCAGTCTCATGTAGCCCAGACTGGCCTTCAGTTCTGATCCTCTTTCTCAGCTTCCCAAGTGCTGGGATTGCAGCCTGTCATTCATACACCAGCGAGGAGCTGCGTCATTAATTCTCACTATTGCAGTAAGAACATATAACATCATCGCCATCTCTTTAACCAAACATCCAGTGTGTAGTACAGTACCGCTGGCTGCAAGCCTGTGTTTTCAACAGCTAGAGCTTGCTCAGCTCGCATAACTGAAACTCTACACCCAGAGAACGGCGTCTGCCCATCTCCTCCTCCCCAACCCTGGAAACTACCCTTCCACTTTCTGCATCCATGGGCCTGACTGTTTGGATACTTCATGAAAGTGGAATCACACAGGCTATCATTGTGTGCCGAGCTTATTTCACTCAGCACAGTGCCATTCATATTGTCACAAGTGGCGCCATTCCCCCTGTATGGGTAGATAGCATTCTATCCTATGTGTACACACATTTTCTTGATCTGCCATCGTCAACTCCGTATCTGGGTTCTTATGCACAATGCTGCAATGCATACAGGGAGTTTTTTCAAGGCTTCTACGAAGGAAGATTTTTTTCAGGAACAATAACAAACTAGTATCTCACTGCAAACACTGTGCTAGAACAGAACAGAGCAGGGCCTTCTTAGTTCTCTAGAGGAAAGAGGTTTGTTATGCTGGGTGTGGAGGTGCCTGCCTTTAATCCCAGCACA